ATGGCACCTAATATTGAGGGGTACCAAAATGGGACCCTAATTTTGGGAACTACCCATATGTATGTCCAGTTTTGGATTTGCAGTGAGAAGGCATCAGGCTTTAGGGCAAGCTTGGCACCCAAAGCATGAAACTCGACAGACCCGAACATGGAGGGTTTGAATCAGGTGCCGCATTTCTTCCGTGGCAGCTGGCAAACTTCCAAGAAGAAGGCCCTAAGCCATTATGAGGGGCTTCAAAATTCTTTGACAGGTGCTGGGTGCAAGAGGATGTGGGGACTGTCGTAAATTAGTGGCCTGTGTCTGGGCTCCCGTTACAGCAGGGCCGGGCCTTGTTCAATTCTCCGTTCTTCGAACAGTACTGTAGTTTAAGCAAACGTAATTAAAGGGTCTTAGGGTTCATGTTGCAACTTCTGCACGCTTCACAAGGCAGTTCCTATCAAGAGAGACCCTCCTTGATACGAAGCTTTGCAGCTGAAACTCCAAAATCCTGTGCTTATTTTGTGGAGCAGTCTTAGGGTTGCCATGGAGTGCGCAGTACTCACTCGAAACTTAAAGCTGACAAGGTCATGTTGCGCGAGATTCCACGAGGTTTGAACGTCAGCAAGAACCCTGAAACACAAATCTCGCCCTGTGGGAATAATTTCATGTGTCCTAGCTTGTTTGGTGGTTTTGAGGGTGCCAAGGGATCATGCAACAGCACAATGTTGTGTTTTTCACAGGGACTTCGGAAGCGAGGTCTGCATGTGGGTCGCGTTTAACCTCCACACAACAAGAGCACCACCCGCAAGGCACAGCGGGACACAGCCAGCAACTCAGATATTTGGAAGACATGGCTTAGCTCAGCAACGGATCTGCTTCCGGGGTGGGACGCAGGATGTTGGCTACAATGAGAGTTGCACAGCCGGACCCGATGAGTTGTTCCTCGAATTCAAGGTTCGGGCTAAAGTACCCTTCAATCAAAACTATCCAATGAAGTTTGACTCAAACATGTGAACACTTATCTGATCCTGGCACTGGCCCATTCCATTGGATCAGTTAATTGAAGAGTGTCGCTCCTCATGCAGAAGTAAACCCTCAGTAAGGCCCAGCTTTCGGTTGGGCTCACGACTTATTGCTACGCCCAGGGGCAGTAGCCAACTTTCAGTCTTGAGTTCAGGTAAATGGGTGCCTTCGACGCCTTTGGTAGGGTGGGGGAGACTGGCAGATATGCATTAACATCATAGAGATTATCAGGGTACTTCTTTCTGATTTATGAGATTTCGATAGCGGCAATCCCTCCTCTCAACAAGAAACCGTAGGGATGCAGTGGCTGTGGAATATGCCCACTATTACGAATTATTCATCTTACTACTAAAATTCTTACTACTATTATTACAATTATTTCTATTATCATTATCATGACCATTAATGGTTAGGGTGACTTGGTCCTAACGACTGTGTGTATTCCGGGTACCAGTCAGCTGCTTACAGGTTGTTGGGTGGCTTGAGCTTTAGCGCGACGTCCATCAGAGGGCCGGTGTTCCCTAGTACAGCAACAAATCAGCCATCCTTAAGAAGCATGCAGGGATTCATGTTTCGATCTTTGATTTTCCATGTGCCACAACTGCATGATCAAGCTGTCTTCTTCAAGGCCCTTGCCACATGCGTTTCAACTCGTCATTTCTGAAGCATCGATGCTATGGGCATGCGGCTTTCAACGCTTATCAGTATGGTTGGTCCTTGTCACATCACTCACCGTCATTCAGCTTCGCATGGCTTTTCAAATGCCCACACTACTGCAAAGTTCTAGGCCTAGGCCCGGTTGGCTTGCTGACCTTTGTCAGCAGACACCTCTTCTCGCCTCACCGCAAAGCGGTCACGGCGCTGGGATGGAAAAAGAAGGCCTCCGTAGCGAGGACAGCACTCCCTCCGTGGCTCAGCAGCAAATGGACTCCTGTGCGACTAAAGCAAGGTTTAGCCGGGGATGAAGAAGGGGCCATTCGAAGATTGCGTATGGGGAATTTTCGGGGTCATGTTCGTCTTTCCCTTCATGCCCATGCTTGGACCTCGTACATCAGCACTGGCAAAAAAAGGATCCTGGGAGCTTTGCCCAGAAAAATGGGTGGTGTCAGAGCAGCTGAAACCAGGGCAGCCAAGTAAAATGACTGGGAGGCGCATAATCCAGAACGACAAGCCACGTAACTGGCACCAGAAACGTGTTGAAATACTACCCAAGATGTATTCAATGGTTCAAGGTTGTGCGGTCATTGCGGATTTGCAGCTGCTGGCTCATGAGCAGCCGGAATTGAGTTGATCTTGAGATGTGCGCTTGTAGGGTTGGGCAGTTGAGGACCTATAGTTTAGACGTGTGATTTCAAGGCAGGCTGCGTGAAGCACAGGGCACTTCTTTTCTACAGATTCTCTGTCTCACCTCCTGACCACGCGCAGCCAACAGACTTGTCCTCTCTTGCTACCTCTGCCGGGATTCGCCATGGAGGCCACCATTGATCTTCCAGCTCCCTTCGGTATCCTCACTGCTTCTGGGTTGCTGTTAAGGAATGTATTTCAAGTTCCTATATTGGGGAACCCATATTAATTACCATATATACCCTTCAAGTTCCTGAACAGCAACCGAGGCGTCTGCTGAGTTGAGAGAGGCCATGGCTGCTCTGGACCTTGAGCTGGTATGCACTGCAGAGGGCTGCCCCAAGATCCTGGGTTGCTGCTAAGGAACTTAAGTTAAGTTACTATAGTAAGGAAACCTCATTGTTTGCTACATACCCATATTATGGTAACCTGATTTAACTTCCTTAACAACCCAGGATCCATGAGGACGACTATTTTGGATATTCCAGCGAGCCCCCCTACGATTCACTCTTCACCTTGGTGCGGGATGGGACAGGGGGCTCTTACCATGTGTGGCTTGGGGGGCATCCGGATGTTCCCGTGGTTTACATAGGCTCAGAGGGCGAGAGAGCCAAGATTGGCAGAACGGCCAGCCAGTTCCTTCAGATACTGGGTTGCTGTTAAGGAACTTAAATTAAGTTACTATATTGGGGAAACCTTATTATTTACTATATATATATATATATCCAGTATGGTAACTTAATTTAAATTCCTCAACAGCAGAACCCAGGATAGTTCTGAGCCTGGCTCCAAATCATACCGGCATGATTGGCGCGCTGCCAGGTATAAACACGCTTCCGGACAATGGAAATATTGAAGATGCGTCCGAGGCCGACTTTGATTACGAAAAAAGCATGAGCCTAATGACTGCATGGAGTTGCAATGAAGATGCACTTCCAGCTCAGCAGAAGGCAGATGCGGTGCTTGCAGCTGCCGGTCTGGCCCGCCTCAGTGTAGAGGATGCTCTCAGGCAGCTTGTATCTTCCCACCTGGCAGCTCCGCGATTTGCCGTTCAGAGTGAGGACTAGAAGATTGTCAAAGCTGCCCTCGCTTTTGACCAGAAAGGGCTCAAAAAGGCGACGGCACTTGTAATTGCCTGTTTTGCATTCCCACGCAGTCGTACAACAAAGGGGAACGTACGCAAGCCAGGTAGATGAGTGCGAAAACTGGGTGCAACTTTTCCGGCGTCCGTACGACACCGGAATTTTCATCCGTTGCAAGCCAATTGGGTTTTGTTGCGCAGTATCAAGAACAGATAGAGGGACCAACGCTGCCACCACGACTTGGTTTCCCTGGTCATACTCCTGGTAGTCAAGCCATATTCAAAGACCTGTGCACTGTCACTACCTAGTTATCCAACACATAAGATGACAAGACATTGATTATAGAACAAGCAGCGAAGCTGAGGCAGTGTGAAGTGCCTCTTTTGGGTGTTTCAACTTGAGCCTACTATTAAGTTTATTCTTATTCTTATCACTGTGATTACTATGATTGCTATCATTACAGTTTTTTGCTATCATTAGTATTAATCTATTGATACTACGAGTATTATTACTATATATTCATCTTTTACTATTGTTTTTCAGTGAGGGCAGCGACCTCGATGCTGTGGTGACGGAGGTGATGCAGGATCCCTCGAATGCGGCGGGTTACTGCTTCACCCTGAAAAGGTGTGGAGGGGTTCAATACCGGTTCAATGTCATTTCCGTCCTTGGTCTGAGAGATTTTCAAGTCTCAAGGAAACTGTAAGTCTGAAGGCTTCAGCTTCATGTAAATATGGTCTTGATTTTCGCGCGTTGTTGAGGTATCAAGTTTGGTGGCCCTTCTTGTAATGCGCCACAGCTTTTCCAGTTCGCAAGGCTTACTTTGGTCATATACCCCAGTGTGCACAAGGAAGCCATGCTGGGCCTTGGACGGTTAGAGAATAGTGGAGAACCAAATGGAACACAAATTGAAGATGTACCGGTATAATTAGTCGAGTGAGCTTGCAGAAGCATTGAAGTTGAATGAGAATCTTAAACACTTAGACTTTCAGAAGCTACGGGTCAAGCGTTCCATGCATGGCTCCTTCCCCAAGATGTTCAAGGCTCCAAGGGCTTGGGTAGTCCCATGGACCAAAGAAGCCTTACGCCCTTCACGTTTTCACCCTTGTACGTCAAGCATGGCACAACCACCTCATCCTTATCCCCTGAGCCCTAAACCCAAAAAACTAGACCCCAGACCCATTACCCCTTACTTACAAATCCTGAGCCCCAAACCCTGTAAATCTCAGCAGGATTTTCCAGACGGGTCAGCAAGCTGGATCAACTGCGGCCATGTGCAGCGGATGCTTCGCGCCACCGAAGGCCGCAGGAACACGAGGGCTTTCTAAATAAAGGTGGGGTTGCTATTAAGGAATTTACCATTAGGTAACATGAGGTGTGTGTATATATTTATATACATACGTATGTATACATATATATATATATGTGTGTGTGTATATATAGTAATTTATGTGGTTTTCCAAGATGGTAACTTAAATTAAGTTCTTTAGCAGCAACCCAGATAAGGGTGGGTAAGGTTTGTACAGCTAGGGGCTCTCAAAAGAGGATGCCCATAGGGATGGGACTATATTGGACTTGTTGAAGAGATCGGGTCCCGTTTCTGCATTTGGAGGGAGCCTTTTTGCTTTGAAATTCTCACATACGACAAGTGACGAGTCTCTGTTGATGGCTATGTCTGGATTATGGAGTGGGTCTGCAGGGATTGCACCACAGAAGCAATATTTGCGAAGTATAGAGGAGCTTTGCAGGCGTGGGCTTTCCTGTGCAAACATGAGACTTACCGCAAGGTCATTTTGCACAGGAGCCTCGATTTTGAGATGCGCTTGTGCAAAAGGACACCTATGAAATCATGCATAGGGACCCCAGTATTTCCTTGGCACTCACTTCCTAGATATTTTCTATCGCACACTGCTTAGGCCAGTTCACCTCACGACAGCGGTCTGTCCGGAAGGGTTCGCGCATCCAAGCACAACGTCAGCCTCACAGCCATGGCTAAAACTCTTCAAAAAAAGCAAAGCAATCGGGGCGTCATTGCCAGCTCTTCTAACAACAGTCCTTATTCGGGTAGGCTTGCCTGCGCCAAGACGCTGATCTCAGATGCCCAACCCCTGACAGTCATCCAACGCTGGAGATCTAAAACCGCAACCTGGAGCAGGTGACGAGGAGTTGGCCGTGAAGAAGCTGAAGGAGTCAGTCGTTTGGAAGAATCTGGGCAGCAGACAGCTTCAGGACATGTACCGCCTGTGGAGCCGTGGCGGCGTGCTTTCTGGGCTTCCCAGGGCAGCGAGTGGTTACATAAATGCTTCTCAATCTGTTCATGCGCTGGTTATGAGGAATCAGGATCGGAATTCACTGTTTTGACACGTCCATGTTTCTCAAAGGTTGTTTTCAGGAAAGTTCATAGTGCAAAGCGTTCAGGACCTAAACCCGGAGCCCCAAACTCCAACCCCTCCGTCCTAAGCCCCAAGCTCCTCGAAAAATGCACGCGGCCCAGTACTCTGAACCTGGCAGGCGTGACACGCTGACGGGATGGCTGGAGTCGCAAGCAGAGAGCTTGCCAACCGCAGAAACTCGAGTCATCGCCATCGGCCATGAGTCAAGGCGCAGCATTAACCGAAGACTGGTGTAAGACTTTAGGGTTGAAGGTGTAGGGGTTTGGGGTGTGTGGGGGTCATGAAGGGATTGACATGCAGTGATCATATAGAGTTGTTGTCTTTCACCTTCGGGCATTGGGCTTCTCAAAGAGGATGGTTTAACGTGAATGCTGGCTTTTGTCATGGTGATCTGATGGCTCTTATTGGATTTTGCTAGAGATCTTGGTGTTAGAGTGCTCAAGGTATCCCTGCGGTGGAATCATGATAGGGCAGCTTCCCAAAATAGAGGGACCACAATATGGACCCGGAATACTATAGTCCTCATTCCTCCAACAAGTACCCCTCATGTGGGGAGACCCCCATAGAAGAACTATCTTGATTCCAGCTAAGTTTTCGTAGTTTTGCATAGGGGAGGTTTTGACGCTTGTCAATTTCAGTTTCAAGAGCGACTAGGCGCTTTCAACAACAGAGGTAGACCGGTGCAATACCAACGGAAGGGCATGGGCACGTCTTGCAATTTGCATGGCCAAATTGTTGGGTCTTTTGGATTTCCTGCCGCTGGAGCTTGATTAACTTGCGTATAGGGGTAGTCAAGCAGAGTGTACTTGGCCCAGTGCCTCAAGCGAACCTGTGCAAGCTGCAGTATCCCGGCTCAACAAAAAACCGGAAAACAGTTCAAACTGCACTGTACTCAAGCCCTGCACCCCAGAGCCTTCACTTCTTGAAGCCAAATCCCTCAGGCCGTTGGTGTATTCTGGCTGTGTGAATCAGCGGCGCGGAGAAGTTGCAGGAGTCATCCTAGCATGCGTTTGGCACAAGGCGCAGCGCCAAGATTCTGAGGGTTTAGGAGTACAAGTGTATAGTTAGTTCGGCATCCATGCGGCTGCATCAGCACAACAGAGGCTAAATGCCTAGTTATGTTGTGCTGGGCTCAAGGCCCAGACAATCAAGCCATCACAGCCATGAAGCCCCCAGTCCTGCCTGTACATCTTCTCTTGCTTCCCCCTTCCCTGGATTTCCCATCTCACGTGGGTGAGGCCCTGGAAGATGCAGGCCCGACTGCACAGAAGCTCAGCTGCAGCGTTCGTTGCTTCGAAAGAGAAGGATTTTCCAATGGATCCCGAAGAAAAGAAACGCTGAGAAGCTGTCCCCTTTGTGCCGCTAAGGACCCTGAAATGTTTGGTATGACTCATGCGTTGCCATGCTGCCCAAATGAAAAAGTCTTCCGGAACGTGCAAAACTTTCTTGTTGAGATTTATGCATAAAAGGCTAATGCTAAGGTTTACGCCAGATATAGAACATTTCCACCAAGACATGTGCAAATCGGCACCTGGTGCAAGGGCAGGGGGTAGAGCAGTTTTTGTGCTTGCGACAGTCTTGCTCACAATTGTTGGAGCCTGTAGTCGGCCACTTGCAAGAACTGAAGACATAGCTGCTGCAAGCTGCTTTTCGGAGGGACCCCATTTCAGGAACACAAACAAGATCACCAACACTTTTAATTAGCAGCAATGACACATAGCAACCTAGAATTAGTACTATTATGATTATAATTACAGTTATTACTGCTACAATCTCAATCAAATGACAATTTCCATAACCTCGGCAATGATGCTGTACAGGGATGATTGGCTGAGACTTGGGCCTGACGGAGTGAAGAGTGTTCTGCCACAAGGGTTCAAGGGAGGGAGGGGGGGGGTGGGTAATATTGGGTGGTTGGCAAAATTATGGTCCCACTGCTGGATCCCTATTATAATACGGCTCCTAATATTTCGGGTACCCAAGAAGGGACCATAATTTTGACAACCACCCATGTGGGGTTATATAGGGATAATGGAAGAAGAGTGGAAACTACTATATTGTAAGGGGCTCTGGGGGTTGATCCGCCTACCTGGCGCCCTCTGCCCTGCGGAAAATTATTGGTTCTTAGTAGGGCATAGGGGGATATATTGTATAGGGGTTCTAGGGATTACATTCCCTTATTCCCTACTAACCACCAGTGAGTTTGATGGATGGGTAGACGAGATTATCCAATTACATGGTCACATGAAGAATCAACAACTGGAAGAATCAACAACTGGTATCAACTAAATACGTGCACTTCCAGGCTTCTGCCCTGAAGCGTTCACATGGTGCAGGGTGTGGGATCTAAACGATGCAAGGCATCGCAATTTTGGAATCCAGAATTGACATTCACGGTTCATGTATCGTTCCTGTCATCATACTTCTACTCGTACGGACCCCTCCCTGGATACAACCCAGGATGGACTATGTGCTGGATGCTCATGGCTACCAGCCCCTCCTGAACTTGAACTTCATGCCTTACATCAATGTTGCTGGCAGCCTCAACTCCTACTTTGCCGAACGGCCGCTGCAGCTGAGTAAGGCCAAGGGTTGTTACGATTCTTGTTGTTCTGCGCATGATCGTATTCCTTGCGTAAACGTCGCTGCTAGCAAGCTTATTATCTTACGAAAAATAAGTGGCCTTTGCCTGTGGTTTCAGTTGTGGCTACTATCGCACTTGCCAAGCTCGCTTGTACTACTCTGGACATCATCCTAATCATCACCATCATCAGCGCCATGATGGGCCTTATCGTCATACTTCTGTTATTCTTGATGTTTTAGCCCAAAATTCAAGGTGCCAGTGCTACTCATCTTTTTTCCGCAAGTTGGCTGTTAATTCTGAGCACGCTTTGTGCCGCCGCTGCTGTGCTGCTGCGGCTGTACCGTGACTACAATGATCTCAAGCTGGGCTGTAAAAGCCAAGCTCTAAATTAATTTCCACACGTCACGGTGCACCATGAATTTAGCAAAGCAGGCAGACCACAAACCTAGGTTCCATCGAATCGTGCTGCTCGACGTTCCAACAGTGATGTCGGTGCTTATGAAGGCCTGGCTGAGCCTTGTAACCCGCTTACCCGCATGATGATGCACTAGGGAGGTCTGAAAGGACAGACGATGTATGCAGTTCCCTATGGCAGTTCAGTAGAAGGCTTCGACAAGCTCAAACTTCTTGATCTGAACTGTAAATGCATCCGGCTGCATTCTACCACCGGCCCCATTGGCCCAAAGAGAGATTCAAATTCAATTCTTGACACACTGCTCATCTCAAAAGCATGGGGTTAGTTGAGCTGAGTAGGAGACAGCATGGGAAATCAGGCATGTTGGAGATTGCCTACGCGCGGCACCTACATGAGATTATGAGATCCTTCGCTTAAGTAAGGAATTTAATATAACCCCTATACAACCCTACAATGTAGTAGCTTCCATTTCCCTTTCCACTATCCCTATATAACCCACATATAACGCCTAAACCCGATAGCCTATAATGTCGTACGAGCGAGGCCATTCTGCCAGTTCTTCCGCAGAAGACAAGGGAGAAGCTCTTCTTCGTGCGACGGGACGAGCCGGAGTCCATGCGGCTTGGGCATTTTCACAATGTATGGGAGTTTCCCAAAATAGGGCCAATATAGAGACCCCCCAAATTCTGTAATCCCTATTATAGGGAATTTATTGGGAACCCCCAAACAGGTGCCCCTAATTTTGGGAAACCCCATGTAAGGCCTGAGTAAAAGGGCGTTTAAGAGGAGTATGAAAAAAAACATTCCGGACCAGGCTGACAGCAATGGTGTTTGTTCTGGGGTTTGAGCCTGCTGCCATTGAAAAAGCTGGCACGCATGTCGCTGTGTTGGGACGCATAACTTCGCAGTTCCTGATTCAACAAGGCTCCCTGATGGGGGGGCCCCAGGATCTACTAATCTACTACTTATAATCCAAAGAGCTTGAATGGCGCATTTGCTCAGCGATCATCAAACTGCTTCACATCTTCACAGGCATGAACTCAGCTGCTGTCCACATGTTGGCTGCCAACCACATATTGCAAGAAGTGTTCCCCAATGGGCGTTGCAAGAAAGGATTACCTCCAGACTGGAAATAAAGAACCAACAGTCCCCAAACAGTAGATGCACAGGAATCTATCCCGCATCAGAGAGCTCGCTCTGTAGAGCTGTAGGGTCCATTAGTTTGAGTCTTTGAGGGTCCAGGGCCCTCTGCTGCCCAGGAGTGCTTTGCACGATCTCTGCGTGAACGAGGATGCTGGGCTCAATGGTTTCTTCTTGATCTTGAACTTACTGGTTCTTCGAAGGGAATGAGGGAGTATAATCCCGACATAGCCCATGTATAATGAATTCCCCTATTCCCTATTAGCCCCCACCAAATATGAGGGTATCAGGTGCCCAAAACCAGTAAGATTATGGAATTTGAGGCCACTGGACATGAAAAGTCTGCGCCCACTAGATGGAGGGTTTGGGAGCCTATGGTGAGCCAAACTCTCGTCAGGACATGAAGGGGATGATCCAGCAACTCCTCAAGATGAATGGAGAGGACGGCACTCCAGCCGGTCGTTCTGTTGGCTGAATTATTAATGTTATCATTATTGTTATTACTGATTATGAATAGTATTTTCCTATATATATATATATAAAAGGTAGAGTTGTTGTTATGGCTTTTGAGAGTAGGGAGGCCAGAAGTACTTGATATCCTTGGGCTTGCCAAGCTGATTGTTACCTCCCCCGGGCTCATCTAAAATCTACGTAAAACATGCTCACCTCGAATCCCAGAACGCCACACATACCTCACTATGTCACTCTGACATGTTTCCGGTCTTCTGCTTCCAGCCAAGACGTTGTAGAGTACGAGGGGCATGGCCCCTAGAATGAGTGGAGACCTTCCTCTTCATGCCCGATTGGTGCCCAGATTTGGGCTCAAGTGGGTCTGGCCCCTATGATATCCGTTTAGGCGCCCCCTCAAAGTCTGCTGAGTCTTCCATGTGAGCCCTGGAATGAGTTGCCCATTTTTTAGGACTGTACTGGGATTGTAGTAGCGTCTGTAGGAGGTGTTGTTCTACCCTGGGGCCAGCTGAATGGTAGTGTTACCTGCCACAGGAAGAGGGAATCCCCAAATGGAAGTGAAGTTGCACTTGTCATAGGGGCCTGGTCACAAAACTAAGACTAAGGAGACAGTCTTATGTGGGGGGCAGGTTGATGGCAATTGAAAGAGATCCGCACGTTGTAAACCACCGCAAGCCTTCATCAAGTCAGGGTGAACCTTTAGCTTTGCCACTTGAACTATTGAGAACTTCTGAACTCCAAACCCGGACTTCCTAGACAGATAACCTGAACCCCAGAACGGTCCTCAGTGGCAGTTGCTCCTAGATGAGAGGCGCTGCAACCCGAAGCTTCGCACATGCTGATTTCATGTGCCAGCGCAGGCGACCTCCAGCGACGGCAGGGAAGCCACACATCGGCTGACAAGCAACATGGTGAGAAATGAAATGCAGAATCGAAATGCCAAAGATAAGGATTAGATAGAGTTTGGGGTTTGTTGTAGGGTCTAGGGCTTCAAATCTTAGAGTCTAGTGCCTTAGGTCTGACAGATAGGAGGGGAATCATATGACAGGCTTTTAGACAGGCTAGAGTGAAAGGTCTTCACGCCAATGGCATACACATGCGCAGGCTTATGTCCCGATCACATGGTACGGTCTACGGCTAGGGGTACGTGGATATGGAATCAAGGAGTGAGGTCAAACTGGATTCCAGGCTCTCCTCGCTATCCAGTCTTAGGAAGTAGTGCTCCAAACAGTGGCCTCAGCCCAACTCCTAACACTACATCTTCAGTCTCGAGTTCGGCGCACAGCCCTCAGCGTCAGCCCATTTGTCTGCTTGAAGCCAGGATCCAAAGGCATTTGTTTGAGCAGCGACTCAGCACAGCGAGGGCAGGGTTGCTGACATTCAGTAGGAGCTTTCTCGTTTAGAGCTTCGTGCTAGCAATCCTATGGCGGAACCCATCCCAGGCCAGGAACGTTAGCGACACCACACGGTGAACAGAGCGATAACGATAACTACGAGCATGCTGAGAATGGATCATGATGATGATGATGGTGATGACCATCACGATGATCATGACGATGAGCAGTATGCTGGTGGCGTTGATGATGTTAGCGATGTTAGTAGGCATGCCAGATGTCAACGTAATTGTCCTCACAATGACCGCATAGTATGACATATCTGGAGATGATAGTCGAAAGCGTAGAAGATCTAGAGAGCATGCTTGCTTGCCACTGTCATGTTCATTTCTCATGATGATTGCAATCGCCATGATAGTCATCATCGTCACCATGACCTCATCATCACCCACCACAGCCACCAGCACCAGCACTGCTGCTGCCACAGACACAAGCAAAGTCGCCATCATCCTCATCACCGCCACAATGATCATGTTCAAGATCCCGAAAAATATGCAATGGACAAGAAGAGCATGCATCCAAGGCAGTTTTCTCGCCGCCCAGCGCGCAGCGATGCAAGAGTCAGAGTGAAAAAGGCTCCGTGCAAGCGGGGGCTCTGCAGGGAACCCTCGGTGTGTCCAAAGGTCCTTGTGTGATCTGCACGCCATCCACGAACTGCTTCCTTTTACTTTGTGCCTTGCTTGAGACTGTTAAGTCCTTCTTGGTGTTTGGAGCTGAGCACGGTAAAAATCAAGGTAAGTGTTGGAGCTTGCAGCTGTAACAGCAAAGTGGGAAAAGAACCATTGCAGTGATGGCCGTATATGTCAAAGAAACAGTCGTGGAGAGAAAAAAGGTTGAGCAGCGTTACGATTGCGTTCGAAAGATGGCCTGGGTCAAGATGAGTGGTTTGCTCACCTTTCGCCCAGCCATCATGAGTGATAACGAACAATATGGACCATACAAGGATCCAGAAGGAAAGTCGTTTTCGAGGGCATTTCCCTGATCAAATTCCAAGAGGCTCTCGGTACGTTGCCTTCTTTGCTTCGCGCGCTCAGGCTGAGAGAGTCCGACGCTACATGTCGCAGAGCGATGGCCAGCTAGGCGCCTCTGCAGTTACTGCCCGAACCTGCAGCGGATCTTTTGGATTTCCCATCGCAAGCCCTGTGTTCTAGCCGTTAGCAACATGTTGACCGTAGGATGATGTAGGATGTTAAGTCAAGAGGGCAGGTCTGTATGTTGAGCCCATGTGCTTACTAAGCCAGGAGGGCTGTTCGAGAGTTGTAGGACTGAGGTGTGCTGTAGTCCACTGGCAGAAAGCTGACTTCGCAACATGGAAGTGCCCTAAACGTAGCCCGACTACCAAAACGGGACACGACACTTCATGGTATTACAAACCCATGTCACGCAAGAAGTCCACAAAAGAAACCAACCATAGTTTGAGACACCGATCATTGGAAGTTGGAAGCATTGGATCTTCAACTCTTGAGCCAACTGCGCCCAGACTTCTAGTTCCTGAGTCCAAGTGTGTTTTCCGACATCCCGAGTACTGATTACGAGTGAAGGACTTTGTTCCATTTTAGTGCCTCCTGGCCCAACATTCCCACTGCTTGGGCTTGGAATCATACTGTAGCATGCCTGTGGTAGGGATATCATGGTCGTTTCGGCGCAAGTTCTGAATGTCCAACTATGCTTGGATCCGAGCTCGGCAATGCCATTTGCAAGTAAGGACGTCAAAATCCGTGGTACAAGTGCCACATGACTGTCACGTGAGAAAGCTAGTTTTGAGAAACCCTGAATGAAGACTGCCATCCGCGATGCCTACCCTTAAATGTACCCTATACTACTATTGGGCAATTTCTAGAAATCCTTCAGAGGATCTACTTTCTAGCTCCTTCCAGGGGTCTGTCTAGTGATGTCTTGAGAGGCCTTCCTGCTCCCAAAGGGCCCAGCTTGCTGCTGGATGAGCCTCGGCGTGACGTTCAGGGATACTAAAGGACCATTAAGGGGGTGCTCTTTGGTAGTCTAGTGTAGTCCCTAATATGGTCGCGTGTCCAAGAATTGTATCTGGGAGGCATGAATCTTGATATTGCTCTACGTAACCCCATTTCATGGCCAATGTCAAATACCACATTATATTGGAGATGTTGACTAGAGATCAAGTGAGCCCATGCCCTGGGGTGTTTTTCGCAACACAGCTCCTGTTGCCACAGCGTACCTTCTGCGCTGGTGGCTTTAAGAAAGCAAGGGTCCGTGCTTTGTATCCTGGATTTGTTGGTGTCGTATTCCAAAAAGTAACTTCAAAACTTCAAGATCGTGATCGTTCAGCGCTATCCATTCTGTGCAGATTGTTGGGCAACTTAATTTCGGCAGCTAACTCTCTACACCTTTCCGCAGGCAGTTTACAGCATTGGAGTGGGCATATCATGTGGTTGCTCGAAGTGACACCTAATTACGCATCCTAGAGGGGGTATGCGCCATGGTATCGTGGCGTCCCCATAAGCTAGCGCACTACCCATTCCCAAGCCCTTGATCTAAGGACTCCGTCAAGGAGGAGCGGCTACACAAGTCAGTCGCATGGGCATGTCACTTGTATACGCCCAACATACTTGCATTTGAGCAATTCTTTCTCAAATGCCTTGTAGTCTGGCAAGTGCCGGGGAGGCCGCGAATCTTCTTGTGGTCGCAGGATGATACTTATGCTGTTGTGCTTGTTGTTGGTTTTGTTGGGAAGCCTGTTTTGAGAAATACCCAGTGGTTGACCTTGACAATTTGTGAATATGTCTTGGCTTCCAGGAGCTTTACCAACTGCGAGATGTGCCGCAGAGCAGCAGGCTTTACCCTACTGTGCCAAGCCCTGGGCACTTTGTGAATCCGTACTTGGCTTGCTGGGAGTCAGGACTGTGTGTTTGCGCAGAGTGTAAGGGTCCCCAATTCGGAGTGACCCTGGCTTTTGAGACGCGCTCAACTTGCTTTGGAGCACATGCGCCGTCAGGTTGTGGCAGGGAGAGCACGTGGAGGGTGAAGTGGAGGATGGAGCCGCCAAGATTATTTTGCCAAATCAAAAGTTCTCGAACTTGGGATTCTCCTGTGTAGCCTAAGACCAGCCCTCAAGCAGGGCTTGCGAGATACATGACAGTCACCTTGCTGAAAAGTGGATGCTGTTCTCCACATTGGCTTGGCTGTTCTCACCCAGTGCCCTTGCAGGACCGTCCGTGCGTTCTGGGGCAGGCACGGCTGCCAAAAGGGTGGAAACATGGAAATAGCGTGATACTTCCCTCCAACAAGCATAGGACCCTGTATGGCCTACTTCCTCTTAGCAGTCTTGGCAAGGCCCTCAGGGCTCAAGATTCCAAACCCTCACTGTATGCCTGATAGCCCTGAAGCAGAAGCCAAGCCACAGGAATTCCGTATGGTTCTCTGCTTCAAACTGAACCGCGTGCCGCACCTCGGGCCTGATTCTGGCTATAAATTCTGGGGCTTCTGAAGCTGAGTAGTCCTACGGACGCAGGCATACCTATGGAGTATGAGATTATTTCGGTGGCTTTCTTGGCAGGATTTTGAAGGGAAATCGCATGGATACGAAACCGGCAAAGTATGCTTGTTTAGCAGAGTCTAGCTCAAAGCTCACGCCTTCTTGACATTCCATGTCAAATTGGTCCAGACATCCTACAAGGCCTGCTGGACATTTTTTCCTGTGGGCCCTGCAGAAAGCGGCATCAGAAGCATTCTCATATCAGAAGCATTCCAGGGCGTTTGTATGGAATCCCCACAAAACCTGTGTGGAGTATTGTTTGAGCATGTTATGAAGGAAAATAGGCTTCCCCGCGCATCGTTTTCCAATTTCCGGTCGATGGGGCCAACTGGGAATTGAGGGAAGGCGGCAGTTAGAATCATATCTGCACCTACCTGGACCCTAAAAGTCAAACCTTAAAACAACTGAATATTATCGTCAAACGTATTATTCTACATACCTTGAGGGTCCAGGTATACAGATTTTGAACCCTGAGCAGGAAACCGTTTATACTGAATTTTAAGGACCCCTGAAAAGCATTTGCGCGCCAGGCACCAGTTCGCAGGCTCCTGGTGCTCGACAATCCCCGCTGCCGCGTCCGACGCGGCACCTCAGACCATGATGGTCCAGAATTGGTTTGGTTTAAGGCTAAGGGGCCGTAATGTTACACAGCCTAACTTAATTACAATTAAGGGTCCAAGGACCCAAGTATCAGGGCTTTAGGTTTCAAATGCCATTCAGATGATAGTGTTGGGGCCCTAAAGCTCCATTATTGGAGTCCTTGGAGCCTTAGGGTAAAGTTACACTACAGCTCCGAAACGTCGAACCAAACCTGACCTTTCTTGCACAGGGACTCCTCATTCCGGTCCGAAATCGGCAGAAGTTATGACCACCAGAAGCACCAAGCGTAGAACATAACCCGTTGACCTTTGCCCATTGAAAAAAGCCAGGCACAGCGCGTGCTTTGGTATTTCGGACTCGGCACGGCCAGGAACCGAGCCAGTTTCACATCTTCAGTA